TACTTGAGAACAAATAGCTTTTGATGAAAGAAAACTATTACTTGAACTAATCCAAGCTGGATTTAAGAAAAAGAAGTTTCTTACAAAAGTGTTGGTGGCAACTTTCCTACCCTTTCTTCACTCACTTAGAAACACTCATGTGTACAATCAAGCAATCAAGGTGTAAGAAGCACACTTGTTAATGAGGTCAGTGAGAATCCAGATAATATCAAGTGACCCTTCTGATTACAATCCTTTATACTGTATTTCTCCAAAGGTAACACCTGAAAATGAACCCATTTCATAACTTTCAAAAACCCTTGGAAGATGGGCTTATTCTTTGATATGGCTTAATGTCGTGTTAGAGTAAAATTGTCAAAATTTGATTGCATAATGCTCTTCTTTGTTCAGTAAGTTGTGGGCAGTTATAGAAAAAATGACATTCTTTTAAACCATATTATATAAATAAATTTCTTTATCATGAAGACATACATTTCTATTGTCTGGTCCATTATAAGAAAAAATGGTTGTCATGTTCAGCTGCTGTTACCATAACAGTTTAAGATTTGTGTTCAAGTTTTTCGTTTGCGTGCATTTCCTACATGTAACTCCCTTATGGATTCTCATTACACTTAGCATGAATTATTATGAAGCCAAGATAATACTGTGACATGCTTATTTGCATTGGTTTATATTAAACCATTTCACAACCCAATTTTTATATTGGTCTGAATATGCAGACCCTGTTCTTCTTTAAAGCAAAAGCCTTTCAGTTCCAAAGTTATAGTCGTGAAAGTAGTGTCCTATCTTCTGATGTGATTGATACTAAAATTCATACCTTCAAATGAAGAGGTTGCAGATATAGGAATTGGTTTTAATTTTATTTTAAAAATCTTGTTATTTCTACTCCATCAGAATGGATGGTCAAAGGAGCTTCCACGATAAGATTTCAGATGGTTTCTTTTTGGTCCTGATGAAATTGGCACAAGCTAGACATGTGGCCAACAATTGCAGCCATTTTCTTGTCACTGTTGTTCCTGGATGGTATCAGCTTTTCACCCAAAAACTACTTATGCTGTCCTAAATATATCATGATGGTCTTCTTGAACATATTCCTATTTTTGAATTGATGATTACATCAGCACAGATTTTCAATTTTCATGAAAAAACTGTTGCATTTAACGAAAGTATCAGTCCAACATCTTGTATGGCCACCACTGTTGCCATCTTGAAAAATCTTCTAACTGCTAATCTCCTTTAACAAATTGTCACATTAGCTTGCAGACCCATCACATGATTTTTGCTAAGTGCCAGACATGCATTGGCTTCAGCATGCCAGCCACCCTCAGAAAAAAGCAAACTAATGCTGTTTTTCTTTAAATATATTAATATTCATGAGAATAATAACTTACTGTTAGTATTTTAATGAAAATGAGGTATATTTAAGTAAAATAAATTATGAAAGAACATGATCAAGCAAGTTGGCAACCTGGTTGGTTTAACCCTTATTGCTCACTTTACAACATCTTTGTCAGCTTAAGGTCTTAAGTGAATATGAGATCTAAATGAAACTTATGCAAATTTAACATCCAATATGGCCACCATGGCAGCCATCATTAAAATTTTGTTATAACTGATTGATGGGTGTAATTCATGTTATAGAATATACAGTTTGGCCTTATGTCAGATGTGCACTTATCAAAACCTGTTAGCTCCACTTGGTCATTTTCATCTTGAGGATTTCAAAAGGTAAGTTGTTGGGGAAAAAAAGAACTGATAACATTTTTACATTTTATATATTTGATACTTCATTCACAGTACTTTCAGAAGCTGATGATTGTCTAGCAGAATTAATTTTCCCTATTTCAATAACTGCTTACAATAGTTTACTTCAGCCTATTTCAGGCTGATTGTTTTTTAGCACTTTGGACCAGTCATTTTGGTTATCTGTGTGTTTAATTCATGTACATTTTCCACAAGTACCTGTATAATATCACAGATATTTCAGCCACAATAATAGGAAAGTAATATAGATGTATGCTAACATTCTTTCCATTGTAAATGTTGCATATGCAAACAACTTCACCTTTCACCTGTCACTCTTGCAGAAGTTCATAATGTTTGAAGAACACCCCAACTGTGCTTTGTTATTAGACCATTGTGCATTGTTTGACCATTTGTGTGTTTTGACTCTGTTGTTAGATCCTTGGTGTGGCTGTGACTGTTCTATTGCTTGACCATTGGTGAATTATGACATAGATCATTGGTGTATAATTACTTTGACAGTGTTGTTAAACCAATTGTATATTGACAGTGGCACTGTGTTGTTAGACCATTTGTGTCTTATGATCATGGCACTGTGTTGTTAGACCATTTGTGTCTTATGATCATGGCACAGTGTGTTATTAGACCATTAGTGTGTCATGATCATGGCAATGTGTTATTAGACCATTAGTGTGTTATGATCATGGCACTGTGTTGTTAGACCATTAGTGTGTTATAATCATGGCACTATGTTGTTAGACCATTAATGTGTTATGATCATGGCACTGTGTTGTTAGACCATTAGTGTGTTATGATCATGGCACTGTGTTGTTAGACCATTAATGTGTTATGATCATGGCACTGTGTTGTTAGACCATTATTGTGTTATGATCATGGCACTGTGTTGTTAGACCATTAGTGTGTTATGATCATGGCACTGTGTTGTTAGACCATTAGTGTGTTAAGACTAAGACACTATACTCTTAGACCTGCAACTTAAGCAGGAACATTACCACCAGATACTGTATATCTACCATTGTACAGCTTGGCCATGTGCTGGTGATAAAACACTTTTAATAACTAGATAATTTTGTTTCATTGCTCATTTGCAAATGTACATGCAGTTGGTTGATCTTCAACATGAAGCAATTACATATCCAGATTTAGTGATTGGGAAGAACTCCAAACTCTCCTGGAGCAAATCTGTTATTGGTGCATGCATATCACACATGCAAAAACTACTTACATTTCCATGTATACAAGTTTGCATAAAATATTCTTATTAAATGATCAAAACAACCTGTGCATGAGACTAACTTAATATTTAATACATTTTGTTTTGGATTAGTTGTAGCATTATAAGCATTTTATTGATTATTCCAGACTTTGTGTCATTTTAACTCAATTATAATTGCCTATGTTCACACAGGTATACATTGAATGATCTAAGTTATTATTTACATGTAATTATAAACTTTTATCAGAGTATGCTGGAACTGTGCTTTCCCTAATCAGGTATGATGTTGGAAAACAAATTTGCTACATTGTATTGTAATGGAACTTGCTAAATGCATGGATATTTCATTACAGCTAAAATCAGTAACAACTCTTAAAGTGTGAATCTTTGTTGTCTTCCTTCTCATCATTTTATTTTATTTTTTATATTCTCATATAAAATTTCATATAAAAATTAAATGCTTTTTAAGATATATTTGTTAATTTTTGTTCATCAAGTATTGTGACTGTTAATAACAAAGTGAATCTCAAAGAAAAGTATGCTTTGTTTTATTAAAGCCACTCTTGGTGTTGGAGAGTGAAGAAACCATAATACTTCATACATTTGAATAAGCCAATAAATCTTGGCACCAATAAGAGTCAGAAACAATAAATAATTTGTCCAGGACTGGTCAAATGTGTTTTTGTGTTCTTTATAGGATTAAATGATCATCAGATTGGCTGTTTATCAATGTATAAATTTTAACTAATCACTCACAAAGTAAATAAAGTCAAAAGGACTTTATATTACCTTTATGAGCCATTGTGTGAAATTTATATATCAATAAATACCCAACCTTGATCATTTAATCTTTATGATTCCAATTTGCTTCCTTTCTGTCATCACATCAGCAGATTTCATCAAACAAAATCTTCACTTTTATGCATTTTTGATCTTTCAAAAGCAAAATCATGCCCATTTTTAGTGAAATTCCTTGCTCTACATATGACCCTGACCTTGAATAACAGGAGGTGAAATTTTGTGAAGCAAAATGCAATAATTTCTCAAGATTGGCTCCTTTAAGCCAACAATATATTTTCTTTGGCAAAAGAGGTGAGTATTAGAATGTAGGAATGATGGCAATTACAATTTTAACTTCAGTTGGGCAGTTTTAATGAGGGGTTGGAAATCACAAACATGAGTGGGTATGGCTTGCTATTCTGGTATAAGACATAGGGCATAACCGACTTTTGATCCAGAAATCGGATTCCACCGGATAGTATGAACTTCCAATTAATCGGAGTCAGACAAGGCAGAAACAACTGATTCGGATAATAAAAATAATAAAGTTGAATTTGTATATCACAGTGTCCAACACTGCATGTCATTAGATAGTGCATTAATAAAGTTAAATAAGTCAGAAAAGTCCAATATGGTCAACACAACGGGGTGAAATGATAATACTTGAGTTAGATCGAAAGATATAAATTTTTTGAAATATTTTAATGCACATGGGCATGACGCACACAGTTTAATAGATAATAAAGAAATATTAATAATTAAAATTTATAATTTCCAAGTTTTTTGCAAGAAATAGTAGCATCTCCATTTTTCAGTGGGCATGCTCAATCATTTGTCACAGCAAATAGCACCTGCGGTGCTTCAACTTCTTTCACTATCGACACTAGGGGGCGGTATTGGACAAAAACTTTTAGCAACAGCTGCCAGAAGCTGGAACTTTTTTTCTCAGGATTTCCAGTGAATTCCTCAGCTGATTTTTCTCAGCTAGTTATGAATCCAATTCATGCTGGCACGTGAATTCAGATGACAGGGATGCAGAGGCAATATTTTTGTCGGATGTACTAGAGGCAAATAACTCCTGGTAGTAGGCATGTCTGATTAATCGAATCATATCCTGAATCGGAAAAATTTCATGCCCAAAATCTGGAATCAGAAATCAGTGGAAAAATGCTAATCAGTTTCGGGTATGCCCTAATAAGACATTTTTTATGATAAAGTATAAAAAAAATTGACAGCTCCAGTGGCCTAGTGGTTAGGACATCTGCCTCAGATGCGAGAGGTCATGGGTTTGATCCCCCATTGATTCATACCAAAGCCTTACAAAACTAGTACAAACAGCTGCCTCGCTTGATGCTCAACATTAAGAGGTTAGTGTTAGGACTGGTTGGCCTGGTGTCAGGATAATGTGACTGGGTGAGACATCATGATACATGTCTGCCACATAATGTCTCATTGCTAGACATCACTATAAACTGCTTCACTGCAGACATCATAGCTATATGATTGAAAAATTGTTAAAGTTACATTAAAAATAATCATATCAAATAAAATTAACTGGTAACTGGGAACCAAATGTAATCTGCAGAATGTATTGATTTATACAAAATTTTAATCAGAATCATGTGATTGTTTACATCCAACCAGATTGCAGAAACTTCAGTCCATTCATAACAATTGGAATTATTAATTATTAATTGCTCTGTTTGTATCACTGCATGAAGACCTTGTTTGTGGTGTTGAACTCTGAGAAACATCTGACATATAATGGCACTATTGGGGCATTAATTTGTCTAAGTGCATTCTGTTAATTCTGTAAACATGACTATTGGATAAACAAGTTAATTAAGAATTGAACTTCATTTGAAAGGATTGATGATGGGAATCTTGCAATTTCTTTCATCCATTGTGTGTAATTGATTCTCAGGCTTATTTGCATTGTGATTAGTGTAGAATATAATGTTCAATTCTTGTAATTACAGATAATTAAAAAGTTATATGGGAACTGCAGTAGCTCATTTGGAAAAGTGCTTGACTCATAATGCAAGGGTCAAGCCAAACAAAAAATATGTTTCTGGTCAGCTAACCATCCTGGTTCTCATTGCCAGTCCTATGGTAAAAAAAATACCTCCCTACCCTTCATGGGTTGATAGCAATCTTGGTCATCTGTTATAAGCTACATCTGTGTCAACTTGGCATTATCTCCCAGTTTGTCAGCATGATATAGGCAGTAATGTGTTAAAAAGCTGAATGAACAACAGAAACCAAAATTAAAAATAAAATAATTACTCTCAAGAAATGGTATAAACTATATTTTAATGGTTGTTAACAAGTATTTATAAAACGGAACAATTGGCTTGAAAAAGTGGTGTTATATTTGAATGACACTGACTTTTTTATTATCATTCATGATATGTTAAAAGGATATGTGAAAGTTGGGTTATCATTACTTGACAGAATGTGTAATTCCTCAGGACCATGTGTTAATACAAATGGCCAAGGCATACATTTCAGTATGCAGTAAGCAGATGGGAGTATGCAAAGCATTTATGCAATGGTATATTTGATTTGAATTCATTTTTTGAAACAATGCTTTGCAAGAACAGTATTGATTTTCTTTTCAGCTTTTGCATGGTAGTAGTAAATACTGGATTTATATATGTTTGTTCACTGTGTACTATAGATATATAATTTTACTTGTAATGATAGCTTGTGTGTTATTTAGCATACTCCCCTATATAGATCATAACTTTCCCTAACAATGTCAGTTTGTGTGATGGCCAGTATGAATGGGTTTAATTAATGTAAAAAAAAAACTTTATTAAGACCAGAGTATGTGACCAGTCTACAGAAGAAGCTGGTTACAAATAACTTTCTTCAGTTTTTATTCAAGTTAAATGGTTACTAAAAGCATTCAGTTTCAAAGCCATCAGAAAAGGTAGCAGAAATTATGTCTGACTGCAGTTTGTTGACATCAATTGGATAAATTGTGGCATCATTCATTGAGGAAATGTGGACATCATCACTTGAGATCATGACATCATGATCATAATGTACTTGATGACATTACATTAAGATACAGTTATATTTACCTTGTAACATTCTTTCAGTATACTAAAAATTTTAGTTTCAGAATGTATAAAGGTGGAAATTTAGGTGCATTTGTTAAATTATTGATTTAATTTATATTAGTTCTTACATCATTCTCTAGCAGACACCTTGTTTTAGTTTCAGTTCATTTTTTTCCCAGGCCCTGGTTAGGTTTTCAATGAAAGACTAAGCAGGTTCGGCAAGTTGGGTTGTCAGTACCAACTCCTCCTCCTCCTCCTCCTCCTCCTCCTCCTCCTCCTCCTCCTCCTCCTCCTCCTCCTCCTCCTCCTCCTCCTCCTTCTTCTTCTTCTTCTTCTTCTTCTTCTTCTTCTTCTTCTTCTTCTTCTTCTTCTTCTTCTTCTTTATTTAAAGCGGGTAATTCAATTAGCTAAGAACTAATCTGCCTTGAGTCCCTCATTCAAAGGATTTTACTTATTTTTGCTGCATCTCTGAAGTCACTGTATATACTGGGTTTGGAAAAAGGAAATAGAGTGGGCATTTCTAATCTCAACTGGAATACTATTCCAGAGCAAAGTTCCAGAGTATTGGAAACTTTTTTAAATAATTCCTTATTTGGCTTGGGAATTTTGTAATGTTTGGTAGACACTGATCGCAAGTAGGGAATATTTCCAAGTAGCCTATACTTGAATAGTGTTTGTTATAATTCACTATTATTGGCTATCCTGTACATTAATTTGGCTTTTCTCAAACAGAATCGGTCTTTAATTTGGATTGATACTAACTCAAAAGCTCTTTTTTGGAGATTTGCCAGCTTTGCTAAGTTTTTATTTTTTGAATTACCCCATACTGTATTACAGTAGTCTAAATAGGGTGGTATGTAACTGTTATAAAATAGTTTTCTGTGCTTTTCCAGGAGAAGGTGTCTTATCCTACTGGGAAGCCATAAACTTGAATTGACTTTTTTACTAATATGTTTGGTATGTTCAGTCCATGATAGGTTATTATCTACCAAATACACCAAGTAGACTATCGTGACAGACCATTTGCAACTGTTTATCCTTCCATGTCAGGCATAGTTCATCACTATCAAGTTTTGTTCTTTTGTTGTGTTGCAATAAGTAATATTGTAGTTTTACCAGTATTAACCACCATGCCATTGCATGTGCACTAGTTGTCCTGTTTGTTTAGGGCATTCTGTAGATAAAGTTCATGTTTTTGTATTTTGAAAGTCTGACAATGTTGTGTCATCTACATAGAGATCTGTAGCTGATTCTGAGTCCTTTAGTACAAGTGGTAGGTCATTAATAAATAAAATAAACAGTAACAGACCTAGAATTGAGCCTTGTGACACTCCACATCTAATTGTTCCAGGTTCAAACAGAATGGTATTTATATAAACATGTTGTGTTCTCTCACTTAAGTATGAAGAAAACCATCTAACTGTGCTTTCATCACATTGGTAGATTTTCAGTTTCTTCAAAAGGATTTCATGATCTACCATGTCAAAAGCTTTCCTGAAAGCTACAAATACAGTACCTATTATTCTACCTTGGTCAAGTGCTTGAAGCCATTTATCAGTTTGGGAGATTAAAGCAGTCTCACATGAATGTTTCTGTCTAAAGCCTGATTGATTAGGGTGTAACAGAAAGTGTTTGGTTAAATATGATAGGAATGAATCATGGACACAATTTTCAATCAATTTTGACAAGTTTGGTAGTATTGAGATTGGCCTATTTATCAGCATCATCCTTAGGACCAGATTTGTGAATAGGAGTTACTTTTGCAGTTTTCCATATTTTGGGAACAGATGAGGATGCAATACTTAAATTGATTATGAATGTTAAGCTATCTACAATAGCAGAGGCAGAAGATTTAATGAGTCGTGGACCAATCTGATCAAGTCCTGTAGCTTTCTTAGTATCAAGTTCACTGAGACATTTCTTAACAAAGTTTTTTGATACTGGTGGGATAGAGAAACATACCTCCTTAGAGATTTTGCAGCTGCAGAACTTTTTCAGTTCATTTAAGTTATTTTCAAATCACTTGATCTTTTAACTTTGTGGTAATGTTGGTGAAAAAAATCATTGAAAACTTTTTCAATGTCATTGTCATCAGTGACTATGGTGTCATTCACCAGAAGTGAGTGAATTTTATTTATCTGATCTTTGTGTGTACCTCCAGTGAGTTCATTGAAGACTTTCCAAATGCAGTTTTTATAGCTCTTTTTGTTTTCAAGCAATGATTGATAATAATTTTGTTTAGCTTTTTTAATCATACTTGTTATTTTATTTCTCCATACTTTATATTGTTCATGGTTTCACATAGCCTTGAATTGTTACTTTGTTTTCATAGCATCAAGGATTTCAGTTGTAAGCCAATTAGGTTGGATTTCATTCTTTACTCCATGTCCTTTTAATATTGCATGCTTAGAGACTACATGCATAAATAAGTCAGTCCACACCCTCAGAACTTCATCTATGTTATTCAAATTTTGGATCATGCTCCACAGACCTTTATATAGGTCATTGAGAAATTGTTCTACATTAAAATATTTGAATGATCTGTGTGTGTATTTTTCTTATTTCTCTTGCATTTAACCTTTCTTGTCAAAAAAGTAGAATAGTGGTCACTAAGACCAACTTTTGGTATGTTAAAACAATTTTCATTGTCTTTTCGAAAGGTTGGTATAAATGTGATCAATAAGAGTGCTTAATTTTTCTGTTACACTAGTGTGGTCATTTACCATTTAGACTAAGCCTAATGATTCAATAAATTCCATCCAGTTCTTCCTTATTTGAGTATTGAGAAGGTCCTTATTATCACCGAGTATTTGTTTCTTTCTCCTGTACAAGAACATTTTCCATTTGTTTCAAAAAGTTATCATTCCAAATTGCCTTGAAGGAATGTGGCCTATAAATGATACCAACTAGAAATGATTTTGCATTTTTTTGATTAATTTCCATCCAGATCCTCTCAATTTCTTGTAAGTCAAGTCAAGTCAAGTCGCCTTTCTGCATTTACCTCTTCCCTAATGTATACAACAAGACCTCCCCCTGCTGTCTCTGCCCCTGAGTAATGGTTTATTGTAGCCTTGACAATGAAATAGATCATCATTGTGGTTAGCATTTAGTTTGGTTTCAGTGAGTCCTAAAACAGCTATATTATTTACTTTTTGAAAGACAACATTACCTTAATTTGGTCTATTTTTCCCACTATACCTTGTACATTTAAGTGACCTATTTTAAAACCTTTTGCATTT